CCCCCCATTAAGCTTGGCAGTAATTATTTATCATGTGCTTCGCTGGGTGCGATTTAGTGCGACTTGCCTTGTCAAGCCCGCGCCGGTGTTTAGCATATTAAGTTGTACTTGCTAACAGCCTTTTGAAAAGCCTTTTTTTTCTTTTTTTTTTTTAAATCTCGGACTTTAAGCGGTTAGCAAGCCAACACGTTCTAGCTTACACGGCTAATGGCACACAGGAATTTGAGTACCTAGTACCAGGTGTGCCAGTCGGTGTTTTTCCTGCCAATCTGCTCTGGCAGTGATGGGATTCGAGTATTTAACAGCAAACAGAAAAATACTCAAGTGCTGAGAAACTTAGTTTTAGATTTATCAAAGAACTGTAACATAACTTGCTCTGTTTCCTCCTCATACTCAAATCTGAAACTCGTGTGCCGCTGGTCAAAGTACCATTGTTTTTGGTTTTAATCAAAGGGTCTGTCTGTATTAACGTTTGTATTGGCGAGATCCCTTTGAATCGTACTAAACTGTGCCATTGCTGTGAGTGCCCTGCCTTGGCGTGAGGTCTTACATGCCTGTAGTGGAATTACGTAAGGAAGGTAGGCCTTATGTGCTTCACTGGCGGCTGGTGGCGTCCGGGGAGCGTTGCCGGGAAGAGGCTCTGAGAGAGGGGATTACTGACTCTGCTGCGCGGTGTGTTGTGAACCTCCTCCTGCTTAAAGGCCAAATATTCTGAGTTCTGTGAGATGCGCCTTCAAACTTCCTTCCCGTGGGACGATGAAGGACAGATGTGGGACTGGGACTTTGAACATGTGTGTGTGTATGTACATGAGTTGACAATGTTCAAGCCATGTTTACTCTGGTAAGGGCACACAGCCCTGCTTCCCCTGTAGAGCAGCAGAGTTGAACAGGGAGAAACTGTGGTGAAAAGCACAAGCCTCATGCTCCTGTCACAGACCGGTTATACTGGCCAGGCTCAGGCAGAAGAGCTGCAAGGACTATTGGGCAGCCAGCATGCAAGTGCCGGGCTGCTAAAAGGAGCCTTGGGAGCAGCTATTGAAGCTGACTGACATCAACCAGAGTCAATTCGCATGCAATTCCTGGCGGAAAAGTGAGGAAGTAAACAGAGGCCGGTGGTAGCATGCTATCAGTGGGGAGTGATGGTGGGAGTGCTTTTTGGGGGGGGAGGGATACTAGAAAAAGAGGTTATCAAGCTGTCTGTCAAAGTAACTGTCAAATCTGCACTGAATAGTCAATCAGATGATATCTGTATTTCTTTTCAGCCTTTAAACATGCACAACTGGATGTTTTCAGTTTGCAATAAACAGAGAATTTTCCCTTCCTGCGGTTTGAAAAAGCTCTTGCATCCAGCTATATGAAATGAGTTACACAATGCTTTGGGAGATGTGTGTGGGAAAGAGAGAGGGGACATGGTATTTTAATTGCCTTATTCGCAATTAAATATTAGGTCTGTGGTTCTTAAATTATCTACCAACTATCAGTGTTCAGCAAGACCATGGTGAATCATTTGCAGCCAGTACCTGGAACCTTTATGGTCAGGTGCAAATATTCGCATGCATACATGCCACCTGCAGAAAATGTCGGGAGTTGGTAGCGCCCTGCAATGTAAAAAACAGGGAAATTACTAGAATAACAAGAGGGGAAAAAAAGAGGCATAGAGAAAGAAAGATAGTCTGTAAGTATTATTTTGAGAGGAATGCTAAGGAAGAAATATGTAAAGTCAGTGAGTCACAATTACTGTGTTTCTGTGGGAGATTGGGAAAGCAGGAGTCAATTAAAGCTCCCATCCTGTGCCCCATCTCTGCTTGTGAGGTCAATCTGGGATCTGTCAAGGCCTTGTTCCAAATAGCTGCAAGCTCCAAGCTCCTTCCACTTGTTCCATGCTTCCCTCTGAATTGTGGAAAGTACCAACCTTGCAATGTACCTTGGCCACGTCTTGGATGTGTAATAGCAGATAGAGGATGGAGCCTTTAGGAGCACGACAGTAGCCACTAAAACTCACCAGAGCATGGACCTCTTGAGGGGCCTGCTTTAACCTACATTAAGGCTCCCCTCAGCAGGGCCAAAGACTACCAAAAAAAAAAAAAAAAAAGCCCCCCCCCCCCCCCCCCCCCGCGTGACAAGAATCCATGCAGCCATAAGGCTTCTGAATAAACTGATGATACGATGTCAATTACTTAATATTTCTATTAACTAGTTGCTTTGTTGCTATATGTTGCTAAAGGTTGATGTGTTGCTGTGTTGCTATAAATACTTGGTCAGAGATGAATTAAAAATACATGGACGGCAGTCATACAGCTCTAAAGAGCTAATCAGAAGAACAAACAGAAGTTAATTCTAACTAAATATTGAAAGGCACTCTTTAGAGTTATTTTTGTAAGGTTAAGTATTGTGCTACTTCCATTTGACTGGCTATGGAGTTATTCAATGACATTACCTAGAAAGTCCAGCAAGTTGTTGCATGTTGATACTTCTGTGGTTCAAAACAAGATTTGAAACTTAAGCTTCACATACAGTGTTCTCCTAAAGTGATAACTACTGGCAGTGATAGGTTATGCTGCTCAGTGGAAAGCAGCAGCACTAAAGGGAATTGAGATGCATGCTTTGCCACTGGTTTGTTGGGTCTTTGCTGATAGTGGAAAAATGGTGAAACTTGGGATCTGTGGGCTGGCATTGGAGGGAAGTGTGGCTTTGAGAGTAGACAGCCTTCTGCCTTTTCCTGCCAAGGTTTTTCCCCTTGGCATGTCACCTCCAGCCTGTTCCTCCCCTAGCTCCGTTCCTGTTTCTTCCTTACCAGTGGCTTCTTCTCTTTGCAGCCTATTCTTTAACCTGAGTTTGTCCATATTCTTCCTCATCATTCCTGCCACTCGTTTTCTTAATATGCTCTTGGAGAAAGCAATATTCCTTTTTTTTTTTTTTTCCAGGTGATCATGTGAGGCACAGAGCATGAGACTGGTCTGTTAGCTGCGTAAGAAGTTTTTGACAGCATGGGGAAATGAGCCTGTGCCTTTAGCGGGTCCAGCCCCTGGGCCATCTTTTTTCTCTTATCATCCCCCTCCACCCTAGAGCTTCTCAGTGCCTTTCCAGTAGCCCTAATTTCTCCTTCCCTGGCTTTTCTGACCTGGACTATCACACCACAATCCCAGGGTTCCTCCTGAGGCGCTTCACTCTTTCTGACTCCTGCCAAACAGGCCAGCTCCCCTTTCTTCATCCTTGTTTCCTGGTCTCAGCTGGCTCCCAGGATGTGCTTCTTCTGCACCTGTCCTTCACGGGGTGGGCTCTGCAGTTAGCTATGGCTCCCCCTGCCCCAGTTCCCCTTCCAGTTCCTTTGCAGTTCCCAGTTACAGTTGCCGTGTGCATTCTCCGTTTCTGGTCCTGCTCTTATGCCATGCCTTACTCTAGCTTATAGTCTTTTCTCGTATCCCAGTCTGACTCTTACCCACTCTGCATTTGAGTTGAGGAGCGCGTGGTGGGTTTTGTTGTCCCTTGCTGTCAGGGCAGGCTTTCTTTAGGATGTTATGTTAATACCATGTTCCTGGAGCAAGGATTTAAAACTTGGTAGAAAGGTCTTCCGTTAAAAGGATACAGTTTTCTTTTGCTTAGGGGCGGATGCTCTTCTGTAAATGTTTTTCCAGGCTCTTTACTGCAGTGTGAACGTGTTCATCTGAAATTTTGTAGACCTCCCCCATGTAAAAATCTCCGTGGAGTCTGTGCGCATGGGATGCGCTCAACCCTTGTAGGACTGACCCCTCTGGCTATGCGCCACCTGCCTGGAGAACGTGTGTGGTCTTTCTGCAGGCGCTAGTGCTCAGCACCGTGCTTCCTATAACTTCTGCTCCGGGAAAAGAGGGGGCTAGGCACCGGACTTGGCAGCCGGGAACTGCTACTCCTGGGGCTGCATCGGGGAACCCTGGAGCTTTTTCTGTCCCTCCACAACCTATGTTTTTTGTTTTTAGGCCTGTTTCATGGTGCAGTGATGCTTTACCTTGTCACTCTTGTTTTGAGTTGATTTCATAGGAGTAGGCCCAAAAGTAAAATCATGCTAAATGTGAGTTGGTTACAATAGTGTCTGTGCAACTTCACTGCTATTTTGAGGCTCAGTGTTTATACTGTGAGTTTTGTAATTCATTTTTGGGACTAACTGTATTTTAAAATGCACTCATTTCTGTATTTGGGAGAGGAAGATAATCACCTCATATTTGTTTCAACCACCCCCTTCTGGTAGAGGCAGAAAGAGCATTTAAGTCGTTCTTGTAGTAAGAATGAGGCCTTCCAGAATGAGAGTGACAAAAATGCTAATGCTACTACATCATATTCAAGAAAATGATACTTATCAGCAGAAGAGATCCTCCTTGCAGAAAGGAAGACATTAAATTGGAGGAGGGGTGCTGTGAATCCTGGCTTCCGTACGAGATTTGTTTCAGATCCCCTGTGTAATTTTGGTCAGTGCTCAACTATTAGTTAGCCCTCAGTGCAGAGGGGATGAAATTTAATGACTCATCTGAAAGAGCTTTGAAGGTTTGTTGTCGTATTTTTTTGATGTTAATGTAATTGAAGTTTATGATTCTATTGTGCAAATAATTAATGTTTACCTCAAATATGTTTTTATTAGGTTTTGTACTGCAATGTGCTGTTTATTTTAATATTATTTTGTGTTGCAGTGGATATATTTACTGTTTGAATTACTGCTTTAAGGAAGAACAGAGTGGTGCTGTTTGGAGGAAAAGACATTTTTTAGCTGATTTGCCAGATTCTTTCTTTATTGTTGAATTGTTTTGTGATTTTTTTTAAAATTATTTTTATTAAAAATTACTTCAAACTTTCATTTAAGTCTATCTTTCATCAGCTCAGAATTGGGTGTCCTTGTTGCATGCAGTTTCTTATCTACCAGCTAGTATCTCTGACATTTTCTAGTTTGTCATGTTTTCTTATGTAAATGAAACTTGACCTAATGCATGTAATGGCTGTATAGTTGTGCTTTATCTTGATCAGACACAGAAGCAGAATATGAGTTGCTAGACAGACATATTTTGAGGATTATACAGTGATAAAACTTATTCATTTCCAGCAGATCATGCAGCAAAAGAGCAGCTAGAGGATACAGATCCGAGCACTCTTTCAAAAAAATATGTGTCTGTTCTAATACACTTAAAATCTTTATAGCGCTCTACAGTTATGTAATGAAGAACTGAGCTAAAACATTTGATAATGTTATTAACCCAAACCATGCATATATATTTATAGGGTTTGGATTATTTATGTCATTATACGACTAAAAGTTAATTTACTAACCTTCCACAATTAAGTTGTGAATAAAAACACTGAGAGGTACATCAGCTGAATTGGATGGTATCAACTAAGCTGTCCATGGGTTAGACAGGAAGGAAGCATTGTCACATTGTTGCAGTATTTTTCATGATGCATTTGATTTATATACCAACAATATATTTACTTGCCAAGTTATTTTGTGCTATAGAAGCAGGCCCATCTAGGTAATAATTTACTCTTTCACCACTGTAGGTTTTTTTTTTTTTTGAATAAAATAATCAGAGGAAGGACTAGTGTTGACATTCTTCCATCTGTATGGGTTGGAGGGATAAGAAAACCAAACCAAACTTAAAATGTCAATTGTATTCAGTTATTATTCCTTCCTATACCTGTTTTCTCTCATGAGATAAGGCAGTAGGAAGATGTGACCAAAACCAAGTGCCTTACAAAGGACATGGGGTGAACCTAGTGAAAGAACAGACGGTGTTCTCCTGGGCTTACTGGCACACCTTTACAACAAGTTTTTGTGTCTTAGGATACTAAGCATGCCAGTCTTATGCTGAGACAAGACGTATATCAGGTAAATGGAATATAAAATTCTGTGACGTCTTTTGAGAGTTTATATTTTTAATATTGCTATGAATTGTTTACTCTGGGGAAAAATAACAGTGCTGTGTAGCCCAGAGAAGGCTGTTGTCTAATATAGGTATATAAACAGATTAAAATATGTTGGTTTATTTTATGGATGGAAGTGCTTTCCCTTGATGTTTTCTTCCAGTTCTGAAGTTTTGCAAAAGGAAGTCAACAAAAACACTTAGAAAATTTGATAAGTCCTTTAAACACTGATCTTCCACTGGGATCCGATATTACAGCCTGTGTGCATACATTTGTGTTAGCAAGCTATCACAAAAGGTAGAGACTTTTATGATTGTTTTTGCGGACTGACTAAGTTAAAAACTGTGCTCTGGCTCAGGGGAGCTTTTAAAAGGTGAGGAAAAGTTTCTGCGTCTGTTTGAGACAAATGAAATTTCAGCCCCCGTCCCACACACACACCCCGAATTAAGAGCTCTTTAGTCGTGTGTTTGGTTAAGAGCTTCTATAAAAGCCCCTGTTTCTTTTACATAAGGGTAGGGGTCATAGGGAAGGAGGTGGATATTTAGATCTAATAGCAAGTTATAACAAGGATGCCTGGAAATCAGCAGCTGTCTCCTTAAACGCAGTAATAATAAGTTTTCTTTTGCATCTTAATCAGTTTTTTAATTTCAAGGCAGAAAGGAAAATATTTTTTTCCTTCAGTGCAGTCACACTTTAATAAAGGTTTATCTTTGTTAAGATAAGAAATTATCTTTGTTCCTCTTGATATGTGCTACCTTTTCTAGATTAATATCTTGCTAGTTAAATGCAAAACTTCTTTCTCAGTCTCTGCTTCCCCACCAAGCTGTTACACTGTAGCAAAGCAACCACCCATATTACTTTTAGACTGTAAGTGATCTGCTAATCAGCAGTGCTATTAGTGTCTCACTTCCCGCACAAGAAGCGCATTACTATATATATGATTGTAGACAGATCAACTAGCAGCAATTTAAAAGCTACAGCTATAATTATGCAGGTTTTGTGCACTCTTTCTCCAGCACAATTACACTGAAAATAACAAACATTTGTGTGTTTTGCCTTTCTGTGACAGACTGAAAAATATCCTGTCCAAGATACAGGAGTACCTAAAGGTAAGTATTGTGAGTTCTGTATATTAGTTCAGGTGTTGTAGATCTGTGTTGCTACAGCCAAAGCTGTTGGTGTTATCTAACAGATTGAAATACCTTTTTTTTTGTCCTCCCCCCTAGGTGTTTGTTTTAAATGTAGTGTCTCTCTCTGCATTTTATGGTCAGTTTGGCATACATAACTTTTGAAATTTCCTGACAGAGTTTAGTTTTGGTCTAAAAATCATGACTAGCTATCATCAGAAGATCTTGCTTCTCCCCTTGGAAGGAAAATATAGAGGTGCTATCAAAAAACAGAGTTCAGAGAACAGATGATAGAGACACAATAATGTTAAAAGGTGGCTTTGAAGAAGTTACCAGTGCCTTCAGGTTATCAGAAATACAATCCAGAAATACCTTCCAGGTCTCCCGCCTCTGATCGCATTCCCAGCCCTATAACCAGTTAACTCTTCATGCTGTCTCTTACTTCGGGCAGGTATGAATACCATTTACTTAGGCACTTAAGGTAGGTCCTCTCTGCACAAGTTCCTGCCTCTCCTCGCTGGAAGTGGAGCAAGTGCAGGTTCTGTATTCCACTGAAGGTGGGTTGGATAGTGTAAATAACCCCTTTACAGTTTCCTTGACTGTAGGGTGGATTTTTTTGCATCTCAGACTTTGTGGTTGGCTTTTGCCTAGGGGATGAGCTGGCAGGTGGGGCACACTCTGGAGGAAGGGTGTTCTGCATCTTGTGCCACACTGCAAGTCTGCAACGGGGGAGACACAGGGAAACTAGGCAGAAGATGGTCAGGAGGGAAACTTTTGTTGAGGATACTGGCCAAATAACACTGGGGTTAAAGAAAAGTTAGAGGGTTAATTTGTGGGGCTTAAGGGAGCCAGCCACAGAAAATAAGCATCTTCTAAAACACCTCTCAGTAGAAAAATAGAAGGTGGCTAAAGACTAATTGGAAATCATAAGCTAACTTCTATTTATTTGCAGGCAGATGGTTTGTTCCTTTGAAACTGTTTACCAACACTTAAGAAATTTTTCTGTACCTTTTTTTTCTACGTCCTAATTTTTCTTTCACTCATGACACTAGGGCCCCCTCAAAATAAATTGGGTAATTCCTAACTAGCTAGCACTTTCAAAGTCTTGAAATCTGACATGACATGTTCTGAGTATATTTATTTGAAAAAGGAAAGCTGAGAGGAAATGGCACTTTCTGTAGAAAGGAAACAGACTTGATTTGTTTTTAATTTTAGTTTCTGCTTCCTCTTGCTAAGTGTAAAAAGATGTAAGCATAAATATAGCTTGGCATTTCCTCTTTAGAGTAGGAAGTGATGCAAATGTTAATTTTAATGTTCTGTTCATTTCTAGAATTTCTATTTTTTTTTCTGGACATGATTTTTAGAAGGTTGTCTTTCCCTGCTGTGGGTTTTGCAATTTTGAATCAGTCCTAGACAGTTCCTTAGAGGAGTCGCTTTCAGTGTGCTCAATGAGAATGAATTTTCTTTTCTATAGAAAATACAAACTTTGAATCTGGGAGCTAGAAAAATGTTGCAGATATGCAGGCCTGTTTCTATATAATATAATTTCTGTTTGCTTCGGTTTTAATGTTTGAATAAAAAGTACATAGGCCCTTTTTGTTTTGTTGTATGTGTGTGGTTTTATTTTTTTTAAAGTCAATTAGTTAATGGACCGTTTTAGGACCTTACTTACTAAAGTTCTTAGCACCCTCTACTGATTCTGATTTAGAGGTGAGTTGACGGAACTTTTCGTCTTTTGGGATTAGGCTTAATGTTTACTTCATGTTTTGATTATAGTCCTACTTCCAGTCAAATACAGAACAAAGTTGACACGCGGTATTTCCACGTGAATTAAGTGGAGTGTTGATGACTGTTCTGCATTTTTGGCCACATTTCTTTTTGTCTCTGGGAATAAAAAAAACTTCAATAAATATTTACAACTGCTGGTGGTGGAACACTGGTTGCCTTTAAGTTTCAATGGTCTTATAAAAAAAGAAAAAGAGGAAAATCGTTATTTTTTTTCCCTGCAAGTGTAAGAATGAGTTGTTTGATTCAGATCAGTTCCTTGAGTGAGATAAGGAAATATGTTTCCTTTCGGTTATTTGACGATTCATAAAGATAATAGCTGTTGTTTAATAAGGTTTTATCGCTGAATGAACCGCAAGTAGTAACGTACTAATGCTACAAAGGCACTGACCATCAGGGAGCATTCTGGTATATGCGCGGAACATAACTTCTTTTAATTCCCCTTCATGTTTCGTCAGCACTTGACCTATGGGTTTTAAGCAAATGGTTTGCTAACGGAGACCTTATTAATCATGCAGAATGAAACTTGTTTGCACAAGGTTCACGAGAGGCTTATGTATCCTATATATGCCATTTTGAGAGCTGAAGAGAGGCTTGAAAGGTGACCAGAGTTTGTGCTCTTTCTCTGTACTGGGGAGTTCTTGCCCTTTTCAGTGGGCTCCCGAGGCAGGTGGTAAACACGCTATTTGAAATGGATTATTTCAGTGCTTCAGAAAAAACCCTGTGTAATAGAGATAAATAAGATGGTGAACCTAATTCACAAAGGGGCAGAAGTCAACACGCGCACTCATATAGTACGTATTTCGATAATGATCTTTATAAGTGTGACGAAGAAAGCAAAGCAAAAAGATTATATTTACTTGTGACATTCTTTTCCAGCCTACTTTAACTATATTGGTTTGGTTAGTATTCTTTTGGTTCTACTCCTGGTCAGCTTTATGAAAGAGGATCATGACCCCTCCATCAAAAACTGTGTAGCCGTTGTTTTTTAAACAACGGCTATGCTAATATTTGATCTCTGCAAGGATTACTTTTCTTTGCACAGTCATGTTCTGCGTGATTGTTGCAGTCACTGCCAGTTTAATGCTTTGAGTTTTTTTTTAATCCAATATTTCCTAGTGACTGATTGTGATGTGGAGTTAAATGTTTTGTGTTAGACATGCGTGATGTATGTTTGAGAGCCTTACTATTTAAATTTATTTTTGGACGGGAGGCCGATGTCTCACAACTTTTGTCTTAGATGAGGAATACCTAACAGATCAAGTTACGTTGGAAATTGCCTCTGTGAACATCAAGACTCTTACGTCAGATTCTGGCCTAGTCCAACAGGTAAGGAAAACTTATATCTGAAGTTAAACTAAGCTATTGCTGTTAATTAACTATGTTAACAAAGGAATATATCTTCAAACTGATTTGGGAGAACAAGGAATTATTCAAGTAAAATAGATCAGAAATAGACTCTCATTGTTCAGGATTCAGTGAAGTGAGCTCCTGTAGAAAAAAGCAAAGGAAAGAATATGTAATCCTGAACATTTACTTTGTAGTTTAAATAGCTTTTGATTGATGCATAGATGCTCTAAAGCAGAGCTGCTACTGGGCTGAAGCTTTGGCATGCATGTTCTCCCTCTTTCCAGCTGAAAATAGAGCCGGGACAGAGAATAAGTAATGGAGTGAGGAATCCTGGGTTTTAGACTCCTTGTGTTTTGCCTTAGGGAGCTGTTTGTTCTGCTTTGACTTTGGGACCCTGCTCTTCTCCTAGTGGAAAGACTCTCCCCTGGTTGTGAAGTCTCACTTTGCCATAGGATGGGCAATGCTGAGTGACCCCCATGCATCATGGTTGCCGTCCTTCAGACAAGCGTTACTTGCCAAATATATTGATTTTCTTTGGGTTGAGCAGAAAACTCGGAGAAGAGAAATGAGCATTGTATGCAAGCATTTGTTGCCAGATCACGCCTCTTTTGCTGAAAATGCTATGATGAAGGAGTCACTATACAGATATTTCAGTGTGTTAGAGTGTTAATAGCTCTAAAGAGCTGGAAAATATTCTGCTTCTCTTCACTCTGTGCATAGGTTTATACCTTTGATTAACCTTGTAGAACTTGGCTTGATTTTATTGTAGGCAAAAATACTGTTGTTTAATAGCTGCATTTTATGGGCAGTAACGCTACATTGCATTATTGCAATTACCTTTCAATAAAATGATCTTGAATACACCTGGGTGCATCTAAGTTGACAAAAGTGAATGATCACTGATCGGTAAAAATACTTCTTTTGGAAGATGATGTATGGCACAGATAAGTATCCTTTATTTATTTTCATTTGTACTTCTTGCAGTACTAGCCACTCCTGTTATTTTTATCATGAGAAATGAGTATAGTGACATTTCTTAAAGGCATTTACATATTAGCTTTCATAGTGTGGTTCTAAGCTCCATGACTTCAGTAAGTCTGGAAGATGTTACTGAAGTGCCGCACAGCAACTTAGCTATTGCAAACTAAATGGAAAATGCACGGTTTTCTCCCACTTTTCTTTGGTTGGTTGGTTTTGCTTCTCTTTAAACGGATCTCTGGAGAGAGGATTTAAAACGTTCTGGGATTTTTTCAGTGCCTGGATCAGCAATAGTGCAAATACTTCATATTAACTCCATGTTGTTATGGACCAAGAGAAAGAACTGATTGTTTTTGTTGGTTTTAACATATTTTAATTGCCATACTTAGGCCTAATTAACCAAGAACATGCTGAGCTGTGATGGGCAGCTGCTCTTCCAATATGTTACCCCTTTGAGGATTTGCTCCTCAGCACTAATACTGTTCTCCTCCTTTTTAAGAAATTAGCGGAAATGGAGACAATGACTATAATCAGGATTTCCAGATTTATTTTTTCTTAAACTTAGGATGCTCATATGACAAGAATGTCGAGTTTTTAAGTTAAAAAGCTCTGTCCAGAGAAAGCTTATCTGATGCCAGTGGAAAAGCAAACTACTAGATAAATGCAAGGGTTATTCTGTTGCAAGGTGACATGTGCAGTACTCAACCTCTCTTGAGCGGAGACCAGCCATTGTGAGGTGAATTGATGTTGCATGTGTGATCCTGCAGTTTTCAGGGAAGAGAGAAATAGCGTGCAAATTTTACCTTTCCTGACAGTCTTTAATTTTGGAGATAGTTCACCACATTAACTGAAACTGCCTATAACCTACTTGTAGTGGATTTCTTAGTACAGAATATGTAGATAGGAATAGAGTATCTTATTACACTGTATTGTTACACAGTTGACTTGTGTTTGCACGCACAGCCTGCAAGATGCTAAGAGGCCTGCTATGATAGTTTTGGAAGAATGATGCAATACAAAAATCAACAATGCTTTACTGCAGTTATCTAAGGGGAAAATCACCTTCTGCTTTCATCTTTCAATCTTCAGTAGAAGAAAGCTATTTCACCTGGCTCCACACCCACATAGTTAAAGTAAGGGCAGCTGCAGTTTCCTGCAGTTCTAGGATCAAGGTGCTGTCCTTCCAGTTTTTAGGTGTTCCTCTCTAAATAGCAGTAGAATTGAAATGTTACAATGTGTGTCGCAGTCTCAAGCTGCTAAGTAATTTCATTATGTTTAATTAGCAGACACAAAGCCGATGAGGGAATGTGTACTTCAAACAGGAGTGTTAGACGTGAGCCAGCAGAAATGTTCAAGTCCAGCCATTGTCTCGAAATGCTTCCTATGTATGTGAAAAAGTCTGTAAAAAGCTCCTCTGCTTTTACTAGATCAGTGAAACAGTCCCTCGTTCTTTCATGTTACAGGAAAAGTGCTTGGATCTCTCATTATAAAACACTTTAAAAATCTTTGAAATTAAGTCATCTGAATTGTTGAACAGCTTTGTACATACTTGATTTGAAAAATCTTAAACTAATTTTCATGCTTGCAGTATGAGTTGTTGACTCATAGCTGTGGTT